TACAAAAATCACCTCGAAACAATGCTCACCTTGGCTTCAGTCTTGTTGACAGGCAGTGCTGACGGTACGCAAACCTCGCCAGTCTTCACACCACTGGAATCTTCACTCTGAACATCTGTGTCATTTTCTACTTTGACTATATCAATGTCCTCCTGTAAAATTATAAATAAAAATATAATTCTGTTAGGTTATACATTTAATATGTGTCAGGTTGCATCCCTGCATATACAAATGTTGTTTACGTATTATAATTTTCAAGTTTCATAGCTGATTACTGAAATACTTCAAATAAGACACTAATTGATTTCAACTACACAAAGTTTAAGTAATTATATTTATCATGTAACCGAAATGGAAAAAAAAGGAAGAAAGAAAAGAAAGATCAGACCATAAAAGTGCTGAAACCACTCACAGATAGAATTTCTTAATGTTGTGCCACCAATCATGTCAAACCTATTATAATGGCAGAACTGTGTTAAAAAAATCAAGACATAATATGATCAATGTTTAATTTAAAGTCTTAAAAATGACTTAAAACACAATGGAAATGGTACTCCAAAAACAATAAGCAACAAAATTTTAGCCTTGAGACATTTTGGAAAGGTGTAGAGTTGTTTCATGGAGATGGGCAGTCGGAGATCGAAAATAAAACGGGTAATTCTCTACATTTGTGAAACGTGCCTAACGATATACACACAGAACATACAACTCACCCCATGTTCAACCTTTATTGTCGGTAACATTATAAGTAGAGGATCCTCCACTGCCCCCTCCTCTTGCACATCTGCGATGTCCTCTGTTTTTATATAGATAACCTGATTTCCATGACACATCTCAGTATCTGAACTACGTACATCTTTCACGAAGACCGTGCAGTTCTGTAAAGACCACCACACATTTCACAAGGTAATGATCACGTTCTCTCATAACACGAAACAGGACACCATAAATGTTAATTCCACACTGTACCGGCAAATTCTTCAACCACCATATTAATGATAACATCATTTAGAGCCATTTCTTAAACCTTCCATGAATACAGTACAAGAGTAGATTTCTTTCTGACAATTTTTTTTACTCTTTTTGACCGACTCTGACCATTTTCATATGATCACATTAGAAAGCTTCTTGAGAAAAATTTTGATTGGTACTGTACAGCATTGACCCTGCAGAGATTATTCTTTTCTTGTATTTTTATTTTATTTTTAACCTGTATTTCTGTACATACATAATAATTAAGTCAAAATAATGTTTTCAGTCCTGAACAAATGTCTCGGTATAGGCATCCTGGAGGTAACGCCCTTTTTCAGAATTATTACTGCATGTGGCCATGTTTTTGTTCACATTTCCACACAAACCTTTGCCACTGTTAGCCACCTTTATTAATTTGTGTTGCCTTATTTAACCACATGACAGATTTTTTTAAACCTGTGGTTCATTGTTGAAGATATCCATGCTAGGTTGGAATTACTGTATCCCCCCCCCCTCCCAAAAATCTCTTTACCCAAATCATTAGGAATTGATGTAGTGAGTGACACAATTTTCTGTCGTATTTATACGTCAATTTTTTCTCTTGAAGCCAAGTATTACCATCCAAGAGCATATCAATACAAAACAGTGGGCGGAGTCAGGGGCTCACTATTTAACACCGCTTAACTAGTATAATCTGGGACACTAGCTGTAGTCAATCCTTCCACGAATGATGGATATTCTTTGATGGTTGTACTTTGTTCAAGTATGTTGGTAGCCGAGTTACGGGACGCGCTAAATACTGTAGCTTTGTCGATGCTGACTCGTCTCCGAGTGCCAACCGGATGTATAAATATAATGGACAGTAGTACCACTCATCACAGCATTTCCAAAGCTCTGAAATGTACACTAATTTCATGCTAATACAACTTATTTCCTGAAAAGCCTTTACTGAATTCAATTTCCATGAAAAACATTTCCAGTCTTCAAAGCTTTTGATAGGTTTACGTGCTTATGAGCTGTGGTAAGTCTTATGTCAGGAGTAGAAATTGCAGGCTCATATTCAGAAGCTATGTTGACTTAAAAGATGAACAACAGATGAAATAAATCATTCTGGTCTACCACATCACAAAAAATCTAAGCAGATTGTCGACTTGGGTAATAATAAAACTGTTCACATGCAGGAAGTTTTCTTGTTATAAAGTGTTTTGAGACAATGATTTACCTACATTCATTATGAATGTTCAAAGATCACAAAACTGAACTATGCTTTTATTTTAATGACATGAAAACATATCTTAATGTTAGTGATTAATACTAAGTACACACCAAGGATTAATGGTACTAACAAGGAAAGGATCAGCAAAGACACCAAATTCTTTCAGCACACAGACACAATGTGAACACATTAACCATTTTAACGCGAAAAACTATTCATCTGAAATTAAGAAGATGGGCAACAAAAATTATGCTTTGTCAGTCTTCGGTCATGTAAATCTAGTAAACAAGTTAACAACATACATTTCCGTGCATAAAAGTGAAGAATACTCACCAAGTCTTCCTTCAAAGCAGGAAATACTTCTTCAGCTCTCTGCAGTATAATTCTTGGCAATCTTGTCGCAAGAGACTGCAAACTGTTTTGTGAATTTAAACCTTCTTCATCCGACATCATGAAGGGTAAGAAAAGTGGTTTACAAGAATCCTAGTGACAGAATCATAGTTTTGATAACTGTTCCTAACTTGGAATATCTGCCCAGGTCCTGAAAGGAAAAATGCTGATTATAAGTGATGTTTAAACATATCACAGAAAAATGTATTTATACTTCTAAGAGACAACAGACATCCAGCATGCATTATGATACACTACAACTTCAATTAATTCACACCAAACCATTAAATCACAGATTCTTCCTAACTAATTTCAGAATATAAATCTTGTGCCTACTACACCAGATGACATTAAAAATATAATTCCTTTCCAGTCAAAAAGTTCTTGTGGTTATGATGAAACTGCATCTAAATTACTTAAATCTTACATAGATTACATCAGTATTGCATTAAATTATCTGTGTAATCATTCAATGGCTGTAGAAAGTTTTCCTGAAAGACTTAAATATTCAAACATAAAACCACAATATAAAAAGGTTTAAGAGTTGTGAACCAATTTCACTGCAGACATTTTCAAAAATTTCTTAAAAAGTTATGTGAAAGAGAGTAAATGATTTCTGAAACTCAAACAACATCCTCGCAGAGGTACAATCTGGATTTATAAAAAATCTCTTGACAGAAATATTATGATCATGCCAAAGCATAAACCATGAATTATCACTCATGAAACTAAAACTTTACAGAATTAGAGGTATAGCAGGGCATTGATTTAAATCTTACCTAAATAACAGAAGGCAAAAAGTAGAAATTAAATCCCCCATACCAATCAAAAATTGGGCATTGTAAATCATGGAGTGCCACAAGGTTCATCATTACCTGGCCCTTTTCTTCACAATATCAAAAATCAGCCTGCAGCTATAAACTCTCAATCTAACCTATTCTATTTGTTGTTGATACAAGGAATATTATTATACATCAAAAATTGGGCTACCTTCAAAATATGAATGATGTCCTTACCAACCTAAACAAATGGTTTAAAGTTAACAAAACTGGCCCTAAATTTTTATAAAACAGACACAAAATTTGCTATGAACAAGACATGGTCTAGTTTAAATAACACACAATAAATAAAAATTCTCTAAAATATTAATACTTGGTGAGGGGAATGAACAAAGACAAAAAGTCTGGAACCAGAACAAATATGATTTCTATGAACTTTATTACTTGATACAAATGTAGATCACCAACAAAATACAGACGTCGTTGATAAACACGCTGAATTACACCATAAACATCAAATCAAGCACCACAAAAACCATCCCTCTGCACAACGCCGTAGAACAGGTGGAGCAAAATACTGACGTACAAACTTGTCTAATCCATAGATAACACAACAAATGTGAAACTCCAATGCCAACATACAGATTAAAAGAAAACCTCCATTACTAACGTGCTGCCACCTATGTACAGTAGTCTATGACAGGGTAAAACACTCATTGGCTTCCTCACGCCAAAGCGACCTCCCGTAAAAATTGGAACATTTTTTATTACTTGTTTTGAAACACTTAATAAGAGAAACTCACTCCATATTTCAAGTAAAAGATAACGTCTATTACGAAAAGGATGTAGGGCGTGGTCGTGGCTTATTTTAAGTTACTCTACCCACATATGCCAATGCAGACTATGCAGCAGGATAAAAATCTCTGGTGGGAGAGCCTGCATAGAACCTCTCAGTAAATAAACATTGCTAACAATTTGACTCAAAGTTCAGAAATAGAAGGATTTCATATCCCTCCACCATGTCCTGTGCTTCACCATGGTCAGGGTGTGAAACGATGAACAATGCATGTGTGTTTACAGTCATATATAGATATAGATCAAAGGAAGTGTTTACAAAGTCATATATAGATATAGATCAAAGGAATGTAGGAAAGCAGAGTGTTTTTAAATCGCCTCTGGAATTGTCAAATTACTGCAAATGAATTATTATTGACACCACCTTGCCAAATTTTCCATGAGATTAATGTCCACATCATTTACTGAGTAACTTACGTTGCCAAAGAAAGTACTGAAGCAGTGTTGCGACTCTTAGCGCTTAAAAAATTATTAGAATAGGACAAGGAAAATATATACTGCCGGGGTGAACAAAATAAATATACCTGACACGGTCACAAAATAACTTATCTGATTTGATTTTCTCTGACAATTACCTGGTCTAACAGAAAACATCTTTCTGAAATCAGAGTTAATATTTAAATTAATTAATTAGAATAAAAATGTGCATGTATTAAATAAATTCACTGTATTGTTTCCCTCTAAATCTAGTGCAGATGCTCAAAGAATATCTGGCATATAACTGTAAAACAACAGTTTGATAATTTGATAAAAATTGAACATTTTATTAGTAATAATTAAACACTGATTTTCTATACATTCATGAAGAAATTAAAAATGTTGGTTCAATACAAAAATTTAGTTACATAAAAAACTGTTTGCATGTAATTACTCAAAAACTGCACAGCTAATGTAAACAAAACATGTTTCAATATTACATCATCCTAGGTCTTGGAAATATGACGCAATACTCAGTAACAGAAAATTAAAAGAAATGCACTTCTGACATGGAAGCAGTCACAGTGCATAGTTCATCACAAACAAGCGCAGTATGGCGCCACAAAATAGCCAAGGTTGCCTGCTTCGTTTTTGAACTGAGGGAGTCTCTCCACACACGACTTTCATACAAATGTTACATTATACTACAATCTAAATAATAACCATTACTGCACCTGTTACTAAACAAATAAATGATATGATGATAAATTCTCAAAGCCTGTATTATAAGATACATTTGGCAATAGCTTCATTCACTTTATTTAGAAATTTAACATCCTGCAAGAATTTCTTTAGTGTAAAGAATTTAACTATAAAATGCACATGAACATGTAATGCATTGGACCCTCTTACAAATTCTTCATAATATCCTAACATTTCTCAAGATGATAAAAATAATTTATTTATTATATTATTGACATATTTTTGTGGTGGGGTAGAAATTTGCTTAATCCTGAATGATATAACCTTAGCCATGTGATGCAGCAGTGTGCTGAGCCCTTATGTAGCGACGAATGTGAACCAAACATTACACATACAACAAATATATCCTCCTCAGTAAAAACAATATATATTATGCACCCCCATAATTATATATATAATAGCATTCAGAAGGCTTGGTATTGAACCTTCTGCAGTTCACCTACTTCTATAAAATTCATTTTGCTAATACGATATCAAATATGGTTACAAACCAAGAAATAAATCACTAATATAGTTATTGGGATAAAAATTGTACCATATAATACATACTGAGTCTTCTGATCCACAATCTAGTTCCACAATCCTCTGCAACTATGCATGCCAGTATATTGCACTTCATGCAAATGTTGTGACCACAAAAACATTTAGAACTCCTTCACCAGTAATCCTCCTTGCAACAGAGAGCATCACAATCTGTAAATAGTGGGGAGGGGCGTGTTCGGTATGAGCTGCCCGGCCTGTAACAGTGCTCTTCATGCCACCAAAACAGAGCAAGAACTACAATGAAAATGGTGTTACTTTCACTGCTTCATTTTTAAATTTCCTTTTAGGATTTTTACTTTTCTAGAAGTGTTAAAAACAGAATTATGAAAATAAGTTCACATTCTATATTCTATAAGCAACATTACAAACCTCATGGCGAGACATGGAATGTCAGAGATAATGCACAAATGTTTGATGTGTTAAAAAACACAGACATTTCCAGCATAAGTGGAAAAAGTAAAGCAAGTGCTGCCATTTTTCACTGTGTACAGCATTGTAATAAATGTTCTAATCTTTCCGTACTTTTCTTATGATGCTGAATCACCAAACCCTCTACAAACCTGACACAATTTTGCAGAATAAACAAAACAAATAAATACAGGTTTGTGTGTTCTTCAGCAGTCGACACTGAAGTCAGAGGAAGTTTATATATATATATATATAAATGAACAGGACTAAATGACTCATCTTCATGAAACATTTCCATTGATGTCAGTCTTGAAATCAAAGCATGTTAAAAGTTTACTGGTGGCAAAGACACTGGTATGAACAATTTAAAATCATGGGTACATCCTGCAAGTGCTCTCTCACTAGTAGAGACCACTGCTCGGAACATTACAGCTACTAATCCATTAATGCAGCCGAACTAGTCTCAAGTGCTTTTAGTAGGTCTTGTCCTTGCAGTAAGCCAGAACTGACAGGAGCATTCACGTCATAATCACGTTGACTCAGGTCAATCAGGGATGGTATTGTGGCTCCTTCTGGGTCAAGCAGGGAGAAGGAGTTCTTCCGTATACTGGCTTTGCGCTCTGCAACACCATCAACTGGTGGTGGTATTGTACACGTCCCTGTATCACTCAGAACAACCCTTGAAACATATTGCACAAGTGTACTTTTACAGTGCTGCAAGCTGCTATCTCTTCCTGGATCTCGAAAGTTCGCCCCGACGTCCTTTTTTTTCCGAGGATTTCCCTGAAATCAATCATCGACAGTTGAATGAAAGTTAATTTAGTACAAAGTCTGATCAGAGTATAACTTATGTGCTATAGAAAACAATAAACAAATATGGATACACTTATAATGTTATCAGTATATTCAACAAGCTTTACACGTGAGTGAAGAGAAAACATACACGTGCATATTACAATCATCCCTTGTGGTACTGTAACTCTTGCAGCAATAAAAACATGCTGCTTCCACAGGCTGAAGATGGAGGCAGTATGTTCATCCAATAATGGAAGAATGAGAGAAGGCTCTCGTATAACAATATTTTTTCTCTTCTTCTCGAACTACTCGGAGTTTAGGCTTGTAACGCCTGTTTGATCAACTCTCATCCAAGAATTTGCAGACATGGTGAGCAGCAATAAACAACAACAAAATATTGGATAGCAGAGGCTAGCCAAAGCATATTTTTAATATATTAAGGAATATATACAGAAGCAAATAAATATGTATGGCATTGCCAATAGGACAAATAAACAATGTTGCCACCAGTGCAAACAACTAGGATTGTTGAAAACGATAAATAATTTTAAAACAACTACATTTTGTTTGTCATGTTTGTTGACGACCAGTTTACTCTCAGATAATGAGCAGACCATGCATGGCTTAATATCTTAGCAAAACAATTTAACTTACAGCTTTATAAAAATTAAATAAGGTCAGTGGCATTTAAGAACTATACTCATAAGACAAAATTTGTTCCAGGATAACAATATAATTGAACACATTCACTCATACAAGTTTCTAGGTAGTTTTGTATCTTATTATGTTAAAGTAGATTATTAACTATAAAAAATTAAAATTGCAAGAAATGTGATACAGCACACTGTGACAAAAGCCAGAATGCAGGCAAGTAGCACATTAGCAGTCGAGATTTGGCAATCGTCTTAGCTTGGAATGTCATGCAATCCATCCTCCCTTCAAACCTACACTCTGTATCATGTCTCGTCTAAATGTGTCTGAGCAATCGGGCCGGAAAAACGTGGCCAACTAAACGTGATCGGCTGGTTAACAATTCATTTTGTATGACCAGTTCTGCTGCTTTCCAGTGTAGACAATAGCAGTGAACCACAGTTTTAAGACTTTATATTTTATTTTTCAAAGTATGTAATGCCCCTGTTCAATCTAATTTAAAGTATTTTTCGATGTGGTGCATATTTAACAAAATAAATTGAAAATGATCTATGAGTTTTTACGCAGTATATGTAGTTTTGTAACATTAGATTTGTAACTGTACTAAATTAACACCGGCACCAATTAAGTATGTAAATTTCGCTTACAAAGGAATTGAGACCAAATTAAACCTGGAGAATGTTTGCTATCATACACTTCAGAACCTTTTATCATCATGTCTGCTATCCATAAAGCACAATGATTAAAATATACAAAACTATAATTTTACCTGTTGTTTTGTATAGGTGTAAATCTTAGACCTTAACATCAAGAGGAAAAAACAGATTGAGGGTGTTGGAGAAGAGGGAACTTACGAGAATATTTGAACCAAAGAGAGATGAAGTGACAGGAGAAAATTGCAAAAAAGGAGATCAATAATTTATAGTATATGTACTCATCAAATATTATTAGGATGATCAGATCAAGGACGAGATGGGCGGGCAATGTAGTGTGTGAAGAAGGCGGAAATGCACATAACATTTTAGTTCAAAAATCCTGAAGGAATGAGATGTGTGCATGGGAGGATAAGAGTAAATTGGTTGAAGAAAATATGGTAGGACAGTGAGGAATGAATTCATAATAATCTGTATAAAGTCTGGTGGCAAGCTCTTGTAAACCTTTTTGTTCACTGAAATGTAGTGAATTTCACTAGCTGAGCAACTGTCAGCTTTTCAAGGACCTTACCTAGACCTTATTCTTGGTTAAATTTTGTTTGCAGAATTCAAAGAGGATTCACATTAGAAATCACAATTACATTATCCGAGTCTTCCAGTTTTTATACCCGCTGAATTTCCACAAACAAAATTCAATATTTCTTAGACAATGAAAGCACATTCAATATCTATGCTTTATTTACAGCTCAAAAACTTTACAGAGTTTAAAATTAACAACTATCTTCCTGTGTATATAGGTCTTGTACTATTGCTAATCATTTTTCTTCATTTGTGACATTCTGCAGTTGAACCTCCATCCTGCCGATTGATGAAAGTTGCTGCAAGAAACTACTGTGGAACACACTTCATGACACAATACATGATTTCAACCCTCTAGACACTCCACTAACTTACTTCAACTATTCTTCAGAAACTGTGTACCAAATTAATACTGCTTGAACATACGACATGCTTTTGAAATTGCTCTCACTTTTCCCTCAACTACTCGACCATATTTTAAGCCAAAGGTAACGTACCCCCTACAAACAAAATATATAATTACATGTGAATAAATTTTATTGACAGCAATGATTGTTTAAGGTTTCCCCTATGCTTGGAAGTGATCAATATTCACCATAAGACTTACTATTACTTTTATATTAACCATTAGCCGTGTTTACATATACAGAAAATAATATAAATATGGATCTGTAGGAAACAGGGTTGAAGGTAGTGGCCTGGATTCATCTGGCTCAGAAAAAAGATCACACACAGGTTTTTGTAAACATAGTAACCTTTTAGTTCCACAGGAGTCAGAAAAGTTAACTATATGACCATTCTATTTATCAGCTTCTAAAGGAGGACTCTGCGCCACGAGTTTGTTATATCTGAGAACCAAAGTTGTATGTTCTACATTCTTGTGTATTTATAGATTAATTCTTTTTAATGATCATGTTTACATTGTAGGTTTCATCTTTTCTCCAAAATTTTACATACAAAACTGATATTCCGCATACAATAAATTATACAAAGTTGTGTGTCAGAGTGCTTTTACATTGTAATTCACTGCTACTGCATTCACATCAACTATTTACTGGGCTGTCATTCACTCAAAATTATTTCCAAAGGTCTTATTTTGTTTTTTGGTAAATTGAGAGAAGTGCTTCCTCATCTGTTTGCGAAGGGATAAAACCAGCTTGTTAGGGTGTCAGAACAATTAATTAGTAATATCAGGAGAGGGGTATATTCAACCTACATCACTTTTATCGTACAGATGATACTGCCATCATCTATTTGGTTGTGCCCAGTCCAAAAATGCTGAAAAAGGATATCATACAGAAAAATCCTCATATGTGTATTATCACGAAATATTTACAATTATATTTTTTTGACAACTAATTTACAGGACAAGTAACAAGAGTAGGAATGAGAGCTGTCACTTAAAATCGAAGTAATGAAGATTCTCTTCCACCTTCTCGTGTTTAATTACGGTTGTCTCCTTCACACCAATTTTCTCCTTTCAAAACCAATACATAAAGTCCTATTCTGGTCAGTTATGCCTCTCTTAAATGATCAAAAAATAAACACACTTTGAAATATGTATAAGTCACGTTCCATCACGAAATAAAGGAAATGCTGTAATAAAATTCATCTTCCTTGCTATATACATCCAGCAGTCATTGCTTAAATACATACTGAACAATCATGTAACCATTTCAGTAGCGAATACAAAAAGATATAAGGTAAGAACACTTCTGTGAAAAAAAGTTTAATCGCTATCACATTCTTATTCCTACGTCTGCTCTACAGAAATATAGGAGGTATGCTTATATAAAATATAATAAACAATAGATGGGTGCTGTATAACACCACATGTAACAAATGTACAAGCAACGTACAGTTATATTAATGTGGTGTAATGAAACGTGCCGCAGAATGGAAAGCCGCACTGAGTTCTGTACCACAAGGGATTCGTAACACATGACGTCTTGATGAATACAGAGAGCCAAAGAAACCACAGTAACAACACACATGTTCGGTAATACAGGATGAAATATATACACACACACACACACGAGACCAGATTTTGTATTTGCATCATGTATATGCTGGGAGACCAGTTTTTGTATTTGCATCATGTATATGCTGGGCTCTAACTTACCAATTACAAGCTCGACAATGATTTGAAAGAATCCTGCCTGATAACCAAATATCTGTTCCATACTCTATTTATGTAATACACAGCAATTCCGGTGACATATTCTGACGTCTGAACCAGAGTTGCTGGAATATATTCAATATGCCAATACAGTTCGAATTCTGAGCGAACAATAGCTATCTGAACCAAATTTCCGTGGCTTTCCCAAATGCCTGCAAGCAAATAGTTATAATACCTTAAAATAAGCCAGTAAACATTCAACTTTCTTAACTCACTATTCACAACATCCTACAACCTATCAGGCAGGTAGATGACAGCCTTTAAATCCCACACTATGGCGCTTCTGGCCAAACCTTATCCCAGGGTTTAATGGTGCAGTGGTCTGCTGCAGCGACACAAAACCAGCTGGAGTATGCCTATGCCAAGATGCATGACCTACAAAAGGTAATGCAGGACTTTCAAATCAAGCAGAGTTCTAAAGCACCCAGAATACATGCCGCTGGTGAATTCCTTATGTATGCCCCACTCCAGATTATCACCCATGACTGACATACAAATGCCACAATGCCAGTGTACACTAGCAGAAGCATTCTTAGGTAAGCAGTAAAATAATGTATATCAAATCTAAAACTTCTTGACGATGGTGAAGAGTCAATTGAATAAAAATTTACTTGGATATTATCCATCGTCTAGTAAATATAAAACGTAAAACGACGTTTCGGAGATGGGACTCTATCTCCGTCTTCAGGTTCCTACTCAGTTGGGCCCACTAGATAGATCTAATCCGTCCGGAGATAGGGATTAGCTCTATCTAGTGGGCCCAACTGTGTAGGAACCTGAAGACGGAGATAGAGTCCCATCTCCGAAACGTCGTTTTACGTTTTTTTTACGTTTTATTACTAGACGATGGATAATATCCAAGTAAATTTTTATTCAGTAAAATAATGCTCAACCATTATAAATACTGACAGTCTGCCTACGCTGATTAGTGTGTAGCCAGTTTTCTGCTAGAACTTAAACATATGTAACCAGCACTCACATCACAACCACTAACCAGTAAATTCATGAGAACGCTGTCACTGGGAACTCGTGGGGGCTGTTTTGGTTGCTGCTGCTCTCGTTCTTGCTGCTGCTGCTGTTTATTGCTGCTAAGTGTCCCCCCGCCATCTAGAACCCACACCGAGTCCCCATGGGGTCCCCTGGACCGCACTTGCTGAGGACCACCAGTCTGGATCAACTGTTGCAACAGCTGAGATTGCAGTTTCTGCGATGCCTTCACCTCACTTTTTGTTCGTTTGGTGCCCGCAGAAGTGTACTGATCATCTGTAGTGGGAGTACACGAGCGCTTGGAGGGTCGTTCTGGAGGCCCTGCACTCCCAGGAAGGCTTTTCTTTATGCCCACTGTAGGAGATATGGCATCACCCCCTTTCTGGGGCAGCAAGCGCTGTACAGGCATCCCTGGAAAGGTAGTCCACTCCATACTACCTGTAGGTGTTGTTCCTTACAGGGAAACGATCAATATCGAACTGCCACTCCCAAAATAGATATTATCTAAGTGAAAACTCGAAATAACAAAAAATGTGAGAAATTCACTCACTGTCTGCGATGTATTGCTAAAATGGTTCTGGATATGGGATACATTCATTTCAAACATCATAAAACAAGAAAATTAAAATTAACATATTTTAAAGTCTGTACTCTGCAGGCATATCAAATGAAGTTCATATGTGTACTGTCTGAACTCCTACCTCTCCGATTCAACGATTAGGCCAATGACCTGTTTTTGCTTCTGTGAAATTTGAACTTGTGTCCTGTATTAAAAACATTTACTGCTCAACACATCAACGCAGACATAAATTATATTATCCTAACCTTTGAAAGTAGCAGTTCCAAATTATAACACACAAACACGTCAAAAGATAAACAGGTGGTGGGGTGGAAAAATAAATCGCAGAAGGCATAAAAAGAAGAACCAAACAAAAAAAACAGCTCTAATTTAAATGAGAAGAAAAGGCTTTTTGAAAGGTTCTGTGACTAAAGAATACAGAAAAAAAATATTTAAATTCAAACTGTGATGAAGCTCCTATAGTATAACTGTACTGTGTATTTATTTTTTCCACATCTGACCCTGACCTACAGGTCCCTCATGGACCAACTGTAAATGCATTCATATTTTATTCAAAATGGACATACAATTAAAGGCAAATCACCTAATCCTCAAATATGATTGTGAGCAAACTGATTCAAGTTAGAAACAAACTTTCAGCATCACAATGGGAAATGTCCATGAAGCTTTTATGTTAAGGATAGGATAAGTTGGGTTTAGCTCGGTTCAGTTATTTATGAAAGAACAGCTTAGCAAAATTTTCATTCATCCTGTTTGCCGAGTTAAAAGATGAAGATTCGCCGTAAGTTCGATACCAATGCACCAGCAATGCTATGACAGACCTCCCAGCACCCTCGGCGATGGGCGCAATTTTGTGCTAATAATGATGGTAAGCAGAAGGAATGGTTGGATGGCCGAGTGGTGTCACAACTGTTAATTCCGTAACACATGACGTGCACTGACATTAGCGTAAAGTTCATCTATAATTAAAATGTTTAATTATTAAAACCCTATTCTCATGTTAAGCCTTCTACGCCTATCCATGACTTTTGGCCATCGCTGCAGGTATACTGTTACATCATTTATATACACTTTCATTCTCGTTACTAGAAGTTTACATAAATCAATCAGTTATAAACTTGCCAAATTATAAATCATCATAATTATTATAAACTACTGTTCATTGATATGCAAGAGCGTATGCATACAGCAAATAGCAATTAAGTCTCATAAAACATAACACGCTTTTAATTGCACAAAATTTTAAATAACTTTAATTACTTTTTCGTCGTCATCAGACTTCTACTCCAATGTTTTCTGAAAATTCTGACGATGAGCTTCTTTATAAATTAATAATATGATTACATATTCATACTCTCTTTCAATTAAGAGCCACTTATTTTTCCACCCTAAAAGCAAGAAGCATACAACTAACTCACTGTGATTCTTGGTGACAACCTGGCCAAACACATCGCTGGGGTCAACTAGGCCGCCTCCATGGTCATTACTTTTTATGGGCAGCAGTCGACTAGAGTTCTGTGCGTTGTTATCAGCACATAATAGCTGTGCAAGGCTTGAGCTTAGGTTTGTCTTTGTAACTGGTACATTTGGTGTTCTGTACCTGAAACAAGTGGATATTGTCTCCTGTTATAGAGAGACAAAAACAGAACAAGCTCTACGGAGAAAATAAGATTAGCGCTGGCGATTATTGTGTTAAGTGGGCATCTGCATGATAAATATAATCATTGGTAAGGTCTAAAAATACGTGCCACACAAAATTTAATCACTTTATTCCATGGACAGAGAAAATGAATTCAGAATTCACTGTTTTGAAACTGTAAGAAAAAGAAATTCATAATTATGTAAGACTTGAGGTTCTCACAGCGGTGAATATGAAGATTTCTGTCTTCTGGGTTATTGCGCTGTGTAGTCTGGTCGATGTTAACCAACGTAATTATTAATTAATATAATCATCATAATTACTGAGCATTCAAAGAGCCCGGTTTATCCATACAGTTCTGAACATTTATACAAATTCCATGAATGTATATTTAATTCCTTCATTATGCCTAAATTCTTTTTATAATCCAGACAAATTCAACCCGCTCCTTTTCCCATGAATTTCACTTCATCAGCTGAGGTTCTAATTCAAATTTTCTTTCCATACAGTCAAAGCTTCCGTGCCTTATGTCAACACGGATTGTGCAAAAGTCTTTTAAACTTCAATTCACGTCTCTGAAGCAAACTGGGTTTAAATTCAATGTTTATAACATCTATTTTTCTAACGTAACTCGACATTTTTGGGTTATGTCTTTTGTTTTCATGTGTAATGTCATAACGAAAACATAACTTTCCTACAAACACAAATTTTGCTAAATGGGTTCTCACCCTCGAAAGCGATTGTTTTGGTCTTCAAAGCAGAAATTCAGAGAACAATGCGGTAAAACATCACTTGAGACAAGATCTCTGTGACCGTAAAAATTGTCATGGTGTCTTCTGGGTTACGCTGCGCAGACTTACAGATGGTTGCCGATGTTTCAGAGGAACTTTCCGCCTATTCAGGATAGAAGCAAATCGAGCAGGGATGTGGGTCATTTATAAACAGAAGGGTGACCAAAGAAAACTCAACAAAACAGGAGAAATAAGACTCTTAAGAATGATGCCACTTGCGTGTAACAAATATGAACTTACCAACTGCTGTTTTTACTTGAACTGTTGGTCTTACTTAAAGGTGGCTTGTCTGGAAGCGCTCCCCACATAAGATCTGTGGATATGAGCAAGGGAAAGTCATCTCCCACCCCCATTGGGATGTACGGCGCGCGCATACTCAGATCTTCATCCCCGTCTGACATGCTTGTATTATCCAGATGCAGAGACAAGAAAGGAGCCATGTTATTGTCATCCCCGGAGTCTCCTGGACTGCATAACGAAGGTAAACTGCAGTCACCGGGACTCTGGAAAAACCGGAAATAGAAACACATTCGTGCAACTTCTGTTTCCTCCCGAAAACTTACTACGCGTTCAATAAGTTACGTAAATAATTGACACGACAATTAATCGTGACGCGGCCCAAGAGCTGCCCGTACATTCTGTAGTAGAAGTGCAGAGTGTTACCTTTGAAAGGGCTGGAGAATGAAGATGAGAGTTAGGAGATCCGCCGGAAGAGGACGTCTCATCGCGATAGGAGAAGAAAGGGTCGTTGCTGCCCTCACCCTTATTGGAACTTTCATGACTTGACTGTGAGTCACTCAGCGTGTTCAAGTCTTCCGTCAGAAGAGGGCAATAAGAATCCGAGAGTATAAATTCATCAAACACGTCCGACATAAAACAGTTTGTTTCGAGTGGAACGTCCACATCCCCTGCAGTTGGAGCCAGGTGCGTCAAGTCCTCCGGTTCATCCTTAAGCACTGCAAACAATTCTTCAGGCATTAGTAACGGGACTAATTAATTAATATACTACGTTACCAAGACAAAGATACTAACATTCATAAGGGAGAATAAACATACTTGTTAGACCTGGTTCTTCTTCTGAAAACATAAGAAAGCCCTTGTTCATTTCCTCTGTTCTAGGTGCAAATATCTTCGAAGTAGCAGCCTGCGGGCGAGAGAATGCTGGGGGAAGCTGCATAAGAGGAAGTGGTGAAGAATCTAATAACTGCACCACCTTTACTGGAGTATGGATTGGTGTGGGAGTCTGTGCTGAGGACACACAAGATGGAGCAGGAGCAAACAATTTGCTTGTGACAGTCTGAGGTCTCGAATGTGACGATGATAATGGCAACTCCGCGCCGAGGGCAGAATTTTTTGAAACGGGAGCAGGAGGAGGTATGGGAGAGGAAGATGTTGGAGATGGGGTGGAAGCAGGGACGCAGACAGGCGCGGGAGATGCCGGCGCAAAGATCTTTGCAGTAACCACTTGTGGGCGTGACGCTACAGCTGGCAGAACAACAGGTTTTACATCAGGCTCCACCACTTCCGCACCGGCTGTCAGCTGACTGCATGAGTAAACCTCATCTTTATGTTCAATCCCACTGCAACATAAAATATTTTGATTTCATTAAATACAAATAAATTAACAATAACCCACAGCCAAACCTCTGCCTCGGGATAAATATACTGGTATAAACGTGATAATGTTGGCAAGATACGACAGATGGGACCCGGATTTATCCTCATCATTCGTTTCTTCGGAAGAGGAGGTGTGCCACAACAGTAAATTTAGCTGCTGTATTTTTAGGAACTGTTTTAGGCACAAGAAAGAGGTTCTCATTATCATCTGGCCTTGTGATGCCTGTGTTGTTCTAAGCTCTTACATAACAAAACAACATCTCCTACATTATGTATTAATTACACACAGCAAATTTTTTTTCAATTTTTTTTAACACAAAGCTCAACTACACTTTTAATCAATAAGACTGATTTCATTCGGCATATTCGTTTCCTTTCAGCGTTGTCATACCTGAATACAGACAACAGATCACACGAAACAAATTAAATATTTGTTATTATAAACTAAACACGTAGTTTATGTAACATCATGTACTGTCATCAGCTGCTTAAGAGGGTACAATAACATTTTATGGGTGGAAAAGTGATCTGTTCTCATTATCATCTGGCCTTGTGATGCCTGTGTTGTTCTAAGCTCTTACATAACAAAACAACATCTCCTACATTATGTATTAATTACACGACCCCTTCTACACATAGCAATTTTTTTCATTTTTTTTAACACAAAGCTCAACTACACTTTTAATCAATAAGACTGATTTCATTCGGCATATTCGTTTCCTTTCAGCGTTGTCATACCTGAATACAGACAACAGATCACACGAAACAAATTAAATATTTGTTATTATAAACTAAACACGTAGTTTATGTAACATCATGTACTGTCATCAGCTGCTTAAGAGGGTACAATAACATTTTATGGGTGGAAAAGTGATCTGGGGGGGGGGGGGCGCTACAATTTAAAATTTCTGGCTGCTGTATGCATGGAATGTCCCTCAGGAATACCACTTTCGTATCATCGCATTAGAACACAGCTCGCCACGGGCTTAAGTCGGAATTAGCTACTTAACAACGCATAACAGGCTGCAGTTGGTTAACGATGTATTTAATCTGATAGGTTCTGCAGTGTTCCACTGTAATACAACTAAACCACGGACGACAGAACACCTTCGGGTTTTTTTCTCTCCCCACGAGACCATTTATTTTTCGTTTCTAGAAGTGTTTGGTCGGGTTATCACGATCACACTGTGCACTCCAGTCACAATAAATTGTGCACGAGTTCTTTAGGAACTTTCCAGTCTACAAACACATCAGCTTCGGCCTGAAAATCGAACACAGTCGACAGATAATCCACCGCTGATGTTTCCGCGTTTCAACCATAACCTTAAATGCGATCGGTAAAACAATAACCCAAAACATAAGCACCCGTATATTTTACCGGAAATATATTTATTTACTCCAGATATCGTAGAACGAAAGTTACTGTAAAATTTCGATATGAAGAAGAATTATTTTTTAAAAAACAAAAACAATAAATTATGCACTTTTCATAACCGTTCCTGGGAATGGTCTATGGGTCGACGTCGACAACACATGTCGAAATTCGATTTCACTGAACACACGGCTTACCTCACTACACACAGAGCTACCACCAACTTCGACAACCTCAGACAGCCGACTGATATCAAAGCATCGAGCCAGAAACTGGCCTATTCGCTGTCTCGCACCAGCAACAGTCAGGTGACATCCCCTCACTCCACAGACACACATCTGGGATGCTGGACCCCACGTGGTTTTAGTCACGTGCAATAACCGCGTACAGTAGAAGTGGCGTAACCCGTTCCCTGTTACATAGTCTGTGCGCAGGTCATAGCTCCTCACAAATATGATTCACCAATTTCCACGTGTGAAAATAACTTGGCTCAAACTTTTCCTTTTATCATCAGTGTTACCTGTTAACGCCTCCAAATCGTGGATGAAAAAATTCAACCACAAGAAAATCAGGATTTATGCAAATTCGTTGCTTAAATACGTCATTAATGTCTTTCCAAGTTTAAACAAATGCTGAAATATTAATTTTTAGATGCAGAATGAAATAAATTTCGAGGGGAAAAAAACTTCAGACGGAGAAAATTAGATATTCGTGGTCGACAACAAGACATCTAATCCGACAGGAAATTCAAGAAGAACCCTGGGGTAACAGTACCAACGTTGTTACTGGATGAATTATAAAAATGGCGTCCAGAGGAAATTGCGTCAACGTAATTGCTTTCCGTTCAGCGTCGGCCAACCACAAAACTGCTTACGCGATAAACAATAGCGGATATGGAATGAAAAAAAATGTAAGGTGTACGTTTGGTTATAAGATGATTAATTTCTTGACAAGAAAGGCTCTGTACGGAATCAGTACCCACACGAAAAAGTACCTGACTAAACACCTGTGCGTTCATGTTACCCTGTCAGCCGCGTTACATCTGACAACACTTTGAACAGCGACACATAAAAACAACTCCAGTCTTACTTTCGTAATTCAATGGCATTCCACACACTGCAACACAGCAGAACCGATTAGATAAAATACAATGTCAGGCAGCTCCAAGTCACTCGGCCAGAACTGTTCTTGCTTAAGGCTTTGACCGGGATGTTCTTTGGTTAAATCTTATGTGGTACCGCCTGATTCGACTTCTAATGGTTAAGTGAAGTGTTTTCTTCGCGGTACGGTCTGGATTCGTAAATATTATGAAGACGAGCTTCGGCTTCAAAGGGTTAACCAGCTGATTTTCGTAATGGTGAGGTGTAGTGTTTTCTTCGCGGTACGGACTGAATTCATAAATAATATTCAGACGATCTTCGGCTTCAAAGGGTTAAAAAAAATTTCCGTTCCGATCGGTCAATTTAAACGACAGGAGTCGTACATATAGTTACCATCTTTTTATACTTCCGTATTTTTAAACAAAGTCTATATTTCTCTACATATTTGTTAAAATTACGAAGGGTATAAATCCCCCCCCAAAAAAACCCCTCAAATTAAGATCAAACTCAAGTGGATCTTGTGAATTCCAATAACCAAAAAATAATCTACATTCGCTTGTACACATCGACGATGATTCTGTTACTAGCGTGAGAGAGAGAGAGAGAGAGAGAGAGAGATGGCTTACGAAGAACAGAAACGTCTAATCGGAGAATATATAACCTCTGACCTTTTACAGAGTTCAGTGCCTGCGAAGCAAGCTACACGTATACCAACATAATTCTTCTTCATATCACAAACGAAGAAATTTCATTTGTTACACATACACACCGAACCTACTGGGGTAACTCGCCTCAGATTACGCAATGTGGCTGACCTTGAACCGCCATCAGTCGCCACAGTGCATCAACCCTTTGAAGCCCGAAGCACATCTCAATAATATTTAAATATTCAATCCTTACCGCAAAGAAAATACAGCTATTCACCTATACAAACATCAAATGGGAGAAATAACCACTGTTTACTCTAATGATCGTGCCACTCGATGTTCGTATTCCCGGAAAGCGCATATTAAAACCCGTTCATCCACCTCAACGCATGAACGCCTCGAGAACGGCTATCTCAGACTATTCGAAGACAAATGACGCAATGAATCGGATAATTTAAGGCATTTTTCCTGCATCTGTTTCGCAGGACGGAGAAAAAAAGTTACAGTGGAACGACGGTTCCGGAGAATTTGACGTAAATACGTCTATACGGAAAGGAAGTTTATATATTGGCTTTATTCTAAATATTTCCTTTATACATGCTTTACAATTGAGTAAAGTTTGATTAAGACTTTGGCTTATTTAACTTGAATTAGTTACGCTTAAGATGGGTCTGTGGTAGATGAATGTAATGTAAGGTAAGGTAATGAAATGTAACGTTTCCTAGGTAACAACAATTCCGAGTAAACACGACGTTTCGTAGGTAACCAGGTTACACTTTTTCGTTTCCCTTTTTCGCCGAATGACCCTTCCTTATAGACGTATTTACGTCAAAATAACACAAAAGAACTCCGGGTCGAGATCTGAATCCGAGACGAACCGAACACAAAAGTCTGTCAACCACTGAGATTCATTCCCCAAATTTAATCAAAATCTGTTTGGCGATTCTCAAGTTGATACATACGGACGGACATATCTCGACTATATTGGTGCAGATAATGCAAATTAAATATAAAAAGTATGGATTGTTCTAGATGCTGTACATGTACCATAAAAAGTTAGTAGACAAATATAAATTTCTTGCGGGCTATCACATCTTCCGTCATAATTCGTACGCCATCCATACATTTCATTCGCGTGGTTTTGTATTGTAGAACATCTGATTACGAATGGAAATGATTAAGTAGCACGGAATGTACCGCTACATCAATTAGCGGAAATTCTCCGGCAGCTAAGAACTTGCATACAGTTGCATCACACAGCGAAATGTAAATATTCACTCGTGTGTATGGAAAGTTGCCGTATGAATTAGCAGAACAGGGGTTACCAAACCTTTGATCGCGAGGAATGTTTGGTGACCCGCGTCGCGTAAGTAAAAAACATAAGAAAAATTTATTCAAATGTTAATTTAGTCAAGTAAATGTTACCAACGCATGTTTTCTTTAAATTTATTTTTGTACAGGATAGCGCATAAAATGATTTATTTATTTATTATTATTATTTAGTGTTCTGTCTGACGACAGGTCCATATGAACTGGATCCTTCCATCCTTTTCTCGGACTGGGACCTGTTCATATACGTTCTTGGCAGATGATCCAGAAGTGGTTTGCCATTGCCTTCTTCTGTGTGAGTGTGAATGGAGTAATTGTTGGGATGCCGCGGAGGAAAACTCCGTGTTGCCTAGACCACGGCCTTGCCCAACACAAGTTATAAATTCGGGCACCGCCGGGAATCGAACCCGAGACCCCCAGGATTACAAAGCCAGCGTTCTAACCGCTAGACCACCGTGGCTATTCATAAAATGTTATCACATTAAAATTTCAAATAAAAGCTTTAATATTCGTAT